AGCATGAAAGAATATTAATCAACCTAAATTTGATTTCTATTTCTTTATTTCTCAAAGTCATACATTATTTTGTGTTTAATTTCTATTTAATAATAATTGATTAATTCTTGATGATAATTTCAATTTTATATGACATCATTTTTATATGGAGTTTTAAATATGTGGTTAAATGAAGGAGTTTATTCTTATTATTTCACAAATATAATCAATTAGAACATTTGAATGATATCATGAGAGATTTAAAAAAATCTCCGTAGATATTCAACTTAATTGCCTCATTGTGAAGGATAATAAGTCCTCACAAATGTCGTGGTCATTAACTTAAAATAAATAAAGAAATAAATTTTGCAAATAAAATTATAATTGTTTTTTATAATTTAATTAATTAATTAAATTAATGCATTAAATCTTTTGGTCTTGTGAGATTTTTGAATATCCATCAACCTCTAGAATAATCATCTTATCACGAAAGTCAATAAGACTTCGTAGGTATAGCGATTAAGATTTTTATATTTTAAAATGTAAATTATATAATTATGTATTAAAATATTTTTTATATAATATTTAATCCTTTATGGTCTGAGGATTTTGGATCTCCGCAGATATTTAAGATAATCGTATTACTGTAAAAGTCAATAAGGCTTTGTAGGTATGATGATTGAGAATCTTTTTTAAAAAAAGAAAAAAGAAAAGAGAAGTTTATATGAATGCACTAAAAAAAATAGAATAATAAAAAAACTTAAGTAAATAAACTAAGTTGTTAGATTCTTTTATCGTGCGAGAGTTTGGATTCTCCACAGATATAAAGAATAATTGTATTACCGTATGAGCCAATAAGGCTCTACAGGTATAACAGTTAAATTCTCAATCATAAAATATAAAAAAATAAAAAATAAAAATAATTTTTAAACCCTTTACCTTTTTCTTATTCAAAAAATTCAAAAATTGAGAAAACAATTGAAATTAAATCACCTTTTTGTAATTTAAAACACACATATCAAAATTTTTAGAAATTGTTTTATTTGCAAAATGGTGAATTATTTCTGATTAATTTCTCTTCAAAAAATATTTTCACCAACAATTACCAAACCCAAACTACGTGGACTTTGATCTCCACCGCAGGGTACGTAGGCCTCAAAATCAGATTCTGAGTCAAGTCCTCCCCGTAAATAAATAAACATTTCTCACTTAATTCATATTATTTTTATATCAAACACATGAATATAAAAAGGATAATTAAAATAATTTTAAAACTATATTTATATAGCACAACAAACTTCAGGTAACCATTCTTACGAACGGGTGTTGTGGGGTGCCTAACACCTTCCCCACACTCAATCGACTCCCGAACCTATTTTCTATTTTCGCAGACCACCCTTATCCACCTTTAAATGGTTTTTCAAGATTTTCCTCAAAATCTTGGTGGTGACTCCCATTTCTTCGATCTTTCTTTCGAAGGTCGGAACCTCCGTTCTCGCGTCGTCCGCGTCACATTTTCGGATGTGACAAGTTGGATCTGCAAGGATTGGCTCAAGGATTGCAAAGGCTGAGGAAGTGACTACTCGAGGGTCTAGGAGTCAAGTCCCTGTCTCTCCATGTTGAAAGGGACTTACCCTGCCATCATAAGATTCTGGCAAAAGGATCATCATCCATTGGCGCTTGTGCATGTGCTTTCCCTTCTAGGGAGTAGGACTGGCTAAGAGAGGAGTGGAGGAAGGTTGATCAAGGGGAGGAGGCATTGTCTTCTTCCTCCTCTTAACATCAGGCGAAGGAGATTGAGCCCTCTTTCTCTTGTCAGGATCATCTCCTTTATCTAGGTGATTTGAGGAGTGAATCTTTTGAGCCCCAGGCTTCTTTGGGACTAAGACTTGAGAGGATACATTATCCTGATCCATCCCTTGGATTATGGTCCTCAGCGAGGCGGCCATCTAGGTCTCAAAAGCAACAGGGGCATTAATATTTCTCTTCAAGTATGTCATCAGCACGTGAGATTATGTCCAGTCATGGCTTACAAAGGAGTTCAAATAGGTTAGACTTTGTTAAGATAAAAGAAAGAAAGGCAAAAGGAAATTAAACATAAGAGATAATACTTATTGGTATAGCTCTTTATTATACGCCTAAAGCACTGGAGCCACCATTTATTGAAGCGAATGCAAGCATCTCTATCCACAAGCTCCACCTTAGACTGCCTCTAGGTGGTGTGAAGGACAGCTATCTGGTCGATAATCTCCTTATCCAGCAGCTCTATACTGATTTGGGGGGACAGACCCCGAGGGGTGCACTGGCTCAATCCAAACTAGCCTGCCACTAGTTGAGGATGATAATACTCTAAGTAGACCTTCAGAGACTTAGAGGAGGAGCTAGTATACGACAACCATATCTTTCTAGGAGTAGTAGCCGAGAGGAAAACCTCATCCCTTAGTAGTTTGGCAGGCTTGTTCTTCCGATCCACTATATACTTGTACAGGTAGGAAGGCGATAGTCCAAAATATTAAAAGCCTTTAAGGTCTTTCCCAAGGACTAGCTCTACTGATTGAAGAACTCGAAGAAGTTCTTCGAATCAATCAACAGATGACCACCTATAAGGCAGGTAAAGGGGTGATTGGTGTAAGAATCGTCAGGAAAGGGCTCCTACTGGTGAAGGGAGAAATAGGCCACCATCCACAACTTCAAAAATCAGATGGGCCCATGAAAGTTGCTGAAAGACTTCTTCATCAGTGACTCCCTCATGCCATCATAAACGTGGCAATCCTCAAGTACAGTTACACATGTTTCCCTCCCCTCGGGGCCAGGATCTAGATGAAGACGAAGTACTTTATAGGGGTGACAAGCTCGTCGGCTAGCTTCTTGAAAAATAACTCCATGATCTTTATGTAGGAGCCCGCACTCTTAATTTTGCTCTCCAAATCAGCTGGGAAAGCGGTGTAGGAGTCATGTTTCTCAGGAATTGTGTAGAAGTTTTCCTCCCCGGTGATAGGCAGTCTCAAGAACATGAAAATGTCTCATAGCATGATGGACATTGGACTGAGCTCAAATATGAAGGCATTGCAGCTCGGAGCCTAAAAACTAAGAGGGCCATTAGAAGCTCAATCGGGATATTGACATCGGCCAGGGATAATTGAATTAGGTTGTAAAGACCCATTTCCTTCCACTGAGGCACATACATCTGCTTCAAATGCCTCACCCAGTTGACCCAAGCATGAGGAGATCAGGGTCAGTTCCTAACCTTTCTGCAAGATGACTCAGGAAAAAGGGAAGTCGTCTAGGCCAAAATCAAGTTTTTGACTAAGGTCAGTGGCTATGGATTTGGTTGAGTGGGGGCCATTACCTCAGACAAGTCAGTAGAAATCATCAGATACCTGACATCGCTTTTATTATAGATCTAGAAACTCTAAGGAGAAGTACTAGAGAAAAATAACGAACAGTTAGTATATTTTCTCAATAAAATAGAAGGACTGAATAGGAGAAGTAAAAACTTACCAGAAAGAGATGGAATCATGGAACGAAGAATCCTCTTGTAAAGAAAATAAACAACGTATTAGAATGAGGACCAATCCGGGGGAAATAAGGGTTTTCAACCACTAAATGTGTACCGTTGCAAACCTACCAAGTGGGGTAACAAGATTCCAGATAGTCGCCAGAGAATTAGGCAGACTTCCAATAGATGTGGAAGATAGAGCAGTAGTATAGGCAACAGCAAGAGTGGAGGAAGCCATTTGAGAGCGAAGGTAAGAGGGATGCAAGGGAGCGAATGCTTGAAGGTCAAGAAACGACAGAAAGAGCAAGAAAAGTGACCAAAAAAAGAAATGAGTTTATATTAACAAATGGCACTCAGAAACAAAGCGACGTTTCATTTTTTTTTTAAACATGCCACGTGGCTTACGTTATCAGCCACTAGCACGTGAGGGTATTATTTGGGCTAAAATATAAAACGTCGTTCAAATAGGTCACAGGACTAGTTAGGCTCAGTAACTAAAGCATCAGGCTTAATATAAACAAAAGGGGCCAGCTTTGATGTTCGATAAAAGCCATAATAAATAAACATGCTGAAACCTTGTCAAGTGCAAACATTGGACTATTGGCATGAGAGACACGATCTCAAGTAATACTGAAATCCCTAGACACGCCCAAGTATTTCGGTGAAATGGGCTGATCACCAAAATGGAGAGTATGAAATAAAAACCGTGCCATGAGTTTAAAATCTTAAGGAAGAGGCTACCACCACTTTGATGCTATAAATAGAAGATGAAGACACGCAAAAAACTAATCATCACTCAACCAAAGACTAGCATTTTACACTTTTTAGCCTTTTAATTTATCAGTTAATCTTTCAGTTTAGACTTGTAACTTTTTTCGCATTTCAATAAAATCAAATACTTGTTCTACCAAAGTCTTGTATCTTTTTGCATCCGAGTAAACTGTGGTAAGGGAGCTCGAGACCCTTTTTGTTATTAATTGAGACTTAGCATCTCTGGCATGTCTGGTATTTGTTATTCACCATGAAGATATTGTTATTTTTAATGACTTTATCCTTAAAATAGGGTATCTTTTTTATTTCTTGTCATTTCTCTCTTTATTATCATTAATGGCAGAACCAATTTATATTTATAATTATTTGACATGACGGTTTTTATTGAACAATATGCATTGGATTCATACAAGAAGTTCTCTAAAAGTTGGAAACAACTAGTTTTTAGTAAAGCATTGCTTCTCATATATATATATATACACACACACACACTCCTTTTGATTCCATTTATGAGGTCGAAAGAAAAGAATTTTTTGTTTATATTTCTAAGTGTGTCGTTGACTTTTTATTGAAAGTTTTTTTATCCTTATTAAATATTAGTAAAAAAAAGTATTATCAAAACATATATGTTTAATAACAATAAAATTAAAAAATATTAAATTTTTAAGGAAATAATTTATAAATGCAATTGGAAGAAGTATATAAATTTATTTTATCAATTTTTAATTTTTTCATAATTTTTTCAACCCTATTTAAAAATCATTTCTATCAATCTCATCAATATCAATATAATAAGAGTACAAAAAATAAAAAGTAGTGAAACTCATACAAGCTCCGCCCCTGAACCCAAGGATTGAGAATAATATAGGACACCTAATAATTTCAACAACAAAGTAAAACCAACATTCCAGTATAAATGGGGCACAGTATTACGGTGTGGATGATACATCATCTGCAGACAACACAAAAACCTCGTCTTGTCACCTTCAACGTGTTCATGATTTGGTTCACACTACCTGCTCTGCGCCCTTTAACGCCAAGATGGAAGAAGCAGCGAAGTGATTCTTCTGCCTCTGCTTCTACAGGAAAAGGAAAATTACTACTAACATGCAATCACTCCACAACTCAGAGTCAGTCTTCATGTTCAACGCATTGCTGCTGAAAATGGGTTCCTCTTCAACTCCAAGGGACTGTATGTCTTTCTCTGCCCTGCTTCTCCTTCAATCTTACTCCATGGAAACTTGTGCTTTGCTATCTTCTTCTTCTTCGCTGCCACTCCCATCACATCTCCTGAGTTCTGCTTCACAATTTATCACCATTTGTCATTTTCATAGGAGCACTGACATGATGTTTTCATGATAATGAAAAGTAAACATAGAAATCAGAATCTTACTTGGAGGCAGAGTCCATCTTCAACGTCACAAACAGGGTAGTCACTGGGACAGCAATAATCTGTTCCGCTGCAGCAAACAGCATTCTCATAATCACAGCAACCATAGATCAGGCAAAAATCGAGCAACTCAAAAGTGCAACAACATGTCTGATCTGCAGCACAATAGGAGAAGTCTCCGCATTCACTTGGTGAAGGCGAGGGAGGAGGAGGAGGCGGCGGCGGCGTTACTGGTGGAGGAGGACTAGATGGGGATGGTGCAGAAGACTCTTTTGTTGGATATGAAGCCATGTAATCGATTGCACATTTCCCATATTTCTCATCACCGTTCCTTTTAAGTAAGAAATAACCGTCCAGTCCCCAGTCTGTTCCCCAGGAATTCTTGACAATCCAGTAATCGTCACCGTCCTCTGAACCATATCCCACAATCAGAACGGCGTGATCAATATCATCTGGATTGCTTGAGCATTTTCCATCATAAATCCCCTGTTCAAACCATCACAAGACGAATTCTAGTTCATCAGACTCGCATTCAACCCTTTGCTTCTTATTCATTGATTCATACCAGTGTTACTACTTCAACTTACGCCAGTATAGAGTTGGAAATCCATTGCAGAGCCATCCATACCCGCACTGATAGGCTGCTTCGCTACTGCACACAAAACAGCAGTCTCTGTTTGTGCCACGTCTTGGTATCCATCAACGCTAACCACTTTTATCCTCTCCTGATCCACCAAAAGCTCTATATTTTACACAAAAGAAACATATCTATCTATCTATCCATGACCTCTATGAGTAGAATCGTACCTTAGTTATGTTGCAGGTTCCATCTTTTCCAGTATATGGATAATTAGTTTCTGTGTCAATCCCACCATTGTTTATAACCCATTCAAAAGCATAATCCATGTCGCCTCCCTCACATCCATCATTAGTTGTATCACAATCCACGAGCTCTTGTTCTGAGAGACTAGTGAGTTTCCCTGTGACTAGTGCATTTATTCCTTCCATGGCTCCCGTGGAAGAGAATGCCCAGCAACTTCCTAAGAAGGTAACTCAGAAATATGTTGATTATTAAGAGTGATAAATGCGTGCATAAGTCTCAAGATTACTCGTTCTATTAAATCAATAAAGTTATTTCAGTATATAAATACAGTAAAAGGGACCAGCTCAAATACTATGTGCTAAAATAGTAGTTATCCATGAGATCAAACTTGGTTGGGCCATTTCTATCAAGGATAGCAGAATTGTGATACTCCACATAATTATAAAAATTTAAAGTAGACCAACAACTACATGTGAGCACTCTGAAGCAGTGTCTCAATAATGAATGCTAAGATTTTTGGATGTACCAGAAAGTACCATCCAATGAGATTAGGTGAAGAGCATAAAAGTGATGAAGTGTCATGTTACTATCAGTAGGAGGAAAAGTGATTAGATAAAAGCTAATAACAGTATTAACTTTAAATTTCAGTAGTGAAAATAGAATCTTACCACAATCTTGTTGGTCCTTAACACCAGTAACAACCCCCTTCTTCCTCCAATCTAATGAAGAAGGCGCATCTTCACAAGAATTGTCCTTTAAATGGAAGCCTCCATTCGTGACGCTGTTACTTCTCTTAATTGGCCTCTTCATCACTGGAAAATATGTTCTCCTGAACTCTTCATTGCTCATATCAGCAAACCTGTTCAGTCCCAAACGGTGTGCATTGGGAGAAGTCCTCATTGCGTTCTGCTCTACGACATACCTCAAATTCCTCTTGAAGTTCCCCAACCTCATGGCTGCTTCTTCTGGGTGTCTGTAAAACCTTCCATGCTCCTTCTTCCAACGTTGGAACAGCTCGACGACCACTCGTTCCTCCGAAGGATACTTGTCAAGTTCATAGCCTAATATGGAGTACTTGCCAGGGACATCGTGAGAGAGACAAGCCAGCAACGAAGCCCAGATGAAGAAAAGAAGAAAGAATTGAAGTTTCTGTGAACTCATTTTCTCTGCTCGGTTGCAAGCAAATGTTGGTGAACCAAGGGTCTTTGTGTTGCATTATAAAGGGAACAATTGAGCAAACCAGTCATGACCAAGCCTACCAGTCAGCTCACGAGCAAATTCCAACGTGAATGGACTTTCCAAGAGACATGCATAAATGACTAGGGAAAAAATTGGGATGTCATTGACCAGAGAGCTAACTTGGTAGATAAGAATAATTTAATGTTATTTTTTTTTTTTTGGAATCTTTGTAGCGAGTTGTTTAGGTGTTTCTCTAATAGCCTTTTATCCCGAGCTACTTGACTTTCGGAAATCAATAGAGCTAAAGATCTTGCAATCTGACGGTCAATCTGGGTTTTGAATGGACGTTGGAATAGCTGTTCAACCTCTGGTTTTACAGATGCCGCCATTGTACATCTTGAACGGTGCTTTTTTATTATTTAAAACGTTTTTTTTTCATTTAAAAATATAAAAAAAAGTCGTTTACATCTAACTTGGTACGTAACCTACAACACTACATGCCCAAGAGGGCACGCCATACAAATATTTCCATAATCCATTGATGGTCTAGTGGTAGTGTCTGCAGCATTTAAGCGCATTATTAATAAATAGATTGTGATCCACATTCCACACAAAGATTGAAATAAACTACATAATTATTTTCATAGAGTTTATATTACGGTGTTGAAAGAAAAATATAGTAAAGTATATGTCCTTATAAAACAAGAAGATTTTGTTCCAAAATTCAAGTGCGGAAAGGAGTTGAAGTTACTAGATTGAGTTGTTTATGGGGTAGGTTTCTCTTTAATGTTGCGCTGTAGCCACAAAAATACTGTAACTATTGGCAAGAAGAAGGGCAGTTATCAATGAATCCTGTTGCAACAACCAAAGTACGAAACCAGGAAATACTCCCAAGTCCTAACAGTACGAAACCAAATTACTTCTGGCTGAATATATATATATATATATTGTTACTCAAGATATCGCATGTCAAGCAGCTATAAAATTAATTTTTTGATAAATTTGAGCATTGTTTAAGAGAATCTTTTTTTTAAATGATAGTTTTTCATACATAGAATTAAACTGTGAAATCATACTCAAAGAATCCAAATTGCCATTATATATGCCACACCTACTTGGTCTGGCTAAATAAATTGAAGGCGCGGTGAGATTTGACGATCACCATCTGAGCAGTGCAGGCACATTGGAATGGGAGGAATAACTGAAGTAGCAATCAATGGATGCAATAAAGAAGGGTCCATCTAAGATCCCAAACAAGAAGATGCCGTCCTGTTGTCCCTGAGAATTTTTTAAATTGGGCCACAAAATAGTGTTTCTTGCTCAGTTAATATGGGCTAAGCCCAATATGGACCAATTTAAAGTCTGGCCTGGGTTCGGAACCCGGCACTGTGTCGGGGACACGCAGGCACGCAGCTGCGAAGCCTTGTCATCATTATCGTTAGATAGAATTTGGGAGGAAATTAATTATTTGGCAATGAGTATTAGGTTATACTACTAAGGATTAGTCTTGAATCCTTTCATTTGAAAAAGTTTGATTTCATATAAGAAAAAGGTGTTTACAGATTTAGTTTGGTTTGATTTTGAAAAAAAAATCAAATTAAACTAAACCAATCGATTTGCTATAATGTGAGATTTATTTGATTTTCTTCTTTAATCAATATGGTTTAGGTCTAGGTTAAATTTAAACTTTTTTTAATGAGATATTTTTTATAATTACCATTATATATTTATGTTCAATAATAATTTTTAACCATTAATTATTATTTGTAACAAAAAAAATCTTTTAAATATAAATTCCAACCTATTCGGATCTTGAAGAAACCCTCAACCTCTCACAACTAGCATCAACATTGGAACCATCATTATAACCAAACGAAATCAAACTAATTGATTTATTATAGTTTGAGATCTAGTTGATTTTTTCTCTAATTGATTTGGTTTAGATTTGGATTAAGTTTAAACTTTTTAATGAAATATTTTTCATAATTACTAATATATATTAATGTACAATAATAATTTTTAACTTTTAATTATTATTTATAACAAAAAAATCTCTTGAATACAAATTCGGGTCTTGAAGAAGCTGTCAGCCTCTCACGGCCAACGTCATTGTCAGCACTGGGAGTCAGGAACCATTACCACATGCATCCATGAAGAAATACCCACGTGAATTTCAAGGCCAATTAATTGTGGTTGGGGGGGGGGGGGGAGGGAATACTCCAACTCTTTTGATAGAGTTTTAGACCGTGACAGTCGTGTTTAAATAAAAATTTAATTTTTAAAAATTATTTTTTTAAGTAATTAAGCTTGAAAACCTAACTTAATAAACCTATAAAAAAAAAGGCTCCAGCACGATTAGTCCCTTCAAACTAATTTTTCTTTTGTGAAACATGCATTTAAAGTAAAAAAAAACCTGCTAACCTGAACCTTAATACTATATTCATTATATTATTATTAATTTTATTTATTTTGAAATTAATTTAATATAATTTAATAAATATTATTGTATAATATAAAATTTTTAATATTTCTTTATAATTATTATATTTGTGTATTTATTAAAAATGAATTATTTTTTAATTAAGATTTAAATTTTTTTATTAGACTTCTAAATGTATACTGTTTAATTTTCAAAAGTTTATGAGGATTTTAATTTTTTTTTAATTTCAAAATATTTTAATTAATTTGTAGCACTTTATTTTTTTAATTTTTTTAGAATAGGACTTATAGGCCTAGTCTTAAGCCTTTTAAATAAGGCATGATCTCAAAAAAGGGATTAAAAATGAAAAACCGACCTTAAGGGCTGAGCCTACCATTTTCTACCTCTATCTTTTGGATACTTATTCAATTTGTTTGTTTTTTTTTTTAATGTTTAGAAATAGAGAGTGTATATGTGAGTGAGTGACAATGGAAAAATATTCAAATAATATAAACATTAGAGATATTCATGGGACGAGACGAGGATCGAGATGAGGTCGGGTGTTCATGAGATGAGATGGGACACCCGTCCTAAAAAAAGATTTGAACTAAACTTTTGTCCCGTGTCCCATTCCGTCCCAAAAATGTCCCGTCTTGTTAGGAATTGGGACACTATCAGGATGTCCTGCCATCTTGATAAATTGAGCAATGTCAGAAAAATATCTGAATAATAAGATTTATTAAAATTTTAAATCATATAATTTATTAAGTTTAAAATTAAAACAACACAAGTACATAAATCACAACAATTTAGAATCAATTATTGAATTACATTAATCACAATTACACATTATGATAGCAATTATAAGTGATTTTTAGGTTATAAGAGTAGTAACAACAGACAAACCAAGCCCAATATCAAATCATTATTCTTCTATTTTAATTAAGATGTGCTAAGCTAATTACTTTTTTAAAAATAAAGCAAAAAATATGATATAAATAAAAGTTATTAAATATATAGATATAAGAATAAATTGTATTAATATGATTAACATTCTCTCCATCCCAAATTATAAAACACTTTTAGGAAACATTCAGCATCCCAAAATATAAGATACTTTAATGAAAATAAGGTTTCATTAATGATACTTTTTCAATATTACCATTTTCATATATTATCTTTCTTCAATTTCTTTTATTAATGAAGTATTAAATGAAGGACATTTTTAAAAGTTTATATTTTTATCTTGAAAAAGTAAGGTTGTAAATTATATTTAATAAACTTTATTAGTATATGAAATTTTATTAAAAGTATCTTATAATTTGAGAAGGAAAGAGTATATTATAAAAAAATATCGCCTTGTTTACTTTATGTTATTAAAATTATCAATATAAAAAATTTTAGTTTTATATAAGAATTATAAATATTAAAATTATAATTGATATAATTAATATAAGTATAAATTATATTAACACAATTAATATATTTAATGTATATTTTTAAAATAAAAATAATATATATATATATACACACAATATTTGGGATAAGGATAGAATATTTTGATAGTAATTCTGTATCCTATCCTAAATTTCTTTTTTGGTCACGTCTGCCAAAATCTTATCTCAATTATTTTTAGATTAAAATAAAATTTATTCTAATATAATCAAAATGATATTGAGTTAATTAGGATGGATATAAACTGAACATCCAATGATTGACATCATTGTCAACAGAGGGAGTCTGGACCATCACCACATGCATCCATGAAGAAATACCCACGTGAATTTCAAGACCAACCAATTGAGGAGTAAAATATTCCAACCTCTCCTATTTAAAAAAGAAAAAGAAAAATCCAACCCCTCTGAATACTTATCCGGTTTGTCCTTTTTTTAATGTTCAGATATGCAATTCACCAGCCGAAGAGCCAAAAACTGCCCTCACGTCCCTTTTTTTAAGGAAAAATATCCTGATTTTTCTCTACATCCCTTGATCCTTACCTAAAAATCAATTTGATGAAAAATAACTTAATTATCACTGAATTTAAAATATTAAGTGTTTACCCTGTATAAATAATACTCTTCCATTCTAAATTATAATATACTTTTATAAAAGATTTAACGTTTCAAAATATAAGATATTTTAATAAAAATAAGATTTCATTAATAATACTTTTTTAATATTACCTTTTTAATATATTCTCTCTCTTTAATATTATTTCATTGTTGGAGTATTAAATGAATGACATTTTTAAAAAATTTATATTTTTATCTTAAAAAAAGTAAAGTTGTAAAATATATTTAATGAGTTTTATTAATATGTAAGATTTTATCTAAAAGTGTTTTATAATTTGATATGGAGGAAGTAAGTGTTTCAGGTTCTGACAATAATTAATTTATGATTAACAACAATACATTTAAAATTTAATAACACTGAAAAACTAATAGCACAAGTTTAATAAAAAAAATGTTCACTCTGTACAAACAACAAGTTTTTCATGTTTTAATAACAATTAATTTATGACTATCAACAATATATTTAGAATTTAACAAGATTGAAAAATTGATAAAATAGATTTAATAGATTAAGTGTTCACCCTGTATAAACAACAAGTTATTCGAGCTTTGGCAATGATCTAACAGTATATTCAAATTTTAACAAGATTGAAAAACTGATAACACATGTTTAATGAAACAAATGTTCCCTTTACATAAATAATAAGCCATTTAAATTGTGACAATAACATATTTGGACATTAACAACTAATTTTTATTTAGTTGTTTCCCTTTCTCTATAGGGGGCAATTAAATCATTTCTTATAAAATTTTATTTTCAGTTAGGTGTAATAAAAAATTAAAATCTTAAAGTTCTTCTTGATATTAAATACTTCCGGTGGTCCTCAAGTGATATTTCCCTTTTTTTTTTTTATGTTAATAAGTTTATATGTGCAGATTTTAAAAATAACATTCAAGGCCAGTGACTTTATCATTTAGTATCATCAAAGTTTTCTTCGAAGTAGATAAAAGTTGTGCATTGGAACTCGCTTGTATCCTCATGCTGCACATGTCTACTGCTCTTTTAAATAAAAAATAACATTCAATTAATTTTTTTTGAATGTTTTGATAATATATTAAATAATTGATGTGGAATATATATCTGTCTACCTAATAATTTGTTACCTGGTAGTTGTAGCGTCTTTCTCGTCGCTATTAATTTTTAATAAGAAAACTCCAGCGCTGCGCGAAACTCGTGCCATAAAATACGTTCGTCTCATTCTCTGTTGTTACATTTTGCTTTTTACTTCCTGTAAAATTCATTTCACATGTTTGAAGATTATGATCCGTCTCCAAAATGCCGCAATAATAATAGCCAATCATAAGGGACATATCTTCAAAATAATGATATATCATAAGATATAGCTTCATATTTTGATAAAATTCAGTTCCAAATGCCTCATCACTAAACATAAGGGACGCGTCTATATGACTACCTTGCTTATGTCGAGAAAATTAAGGATGGCGAGTTTCCTTATGACTAACTTGCTCTTGCCTTGCTTCCTCTGTGCTTCACTCCTATGTCTCTCTTCTTCCATCCCCACTAGCTTCTCCATACTTGGCGACAGTGAAAGCCTTCGAAAGTTCACTTCAGAGGAACAAGTCAATGGACTTTTCCGACTGTGGCAGAAGCAACACCGACGGGTTTACCCAAACCCACGAGAAGAAGCAAAGAGATTCCTGATTTTCCAAAGCAATTTGAAGCATATCAATGAGATCAATGAAAAGAGAGTATGTCCCTCGCAATCTCGCCTGGGTCTGAACAAATTTGCAGATTTAAGCCCCGAGGAGTTCAAGGAAGTCTACTTGCATAATATAAACATGCCGGCCAACACTGTTATGGCCAAGTTCAAGAAGGACGATTCCTGTGATCACAACGTGCCTGATTCTCTGGATTGGAGAAAAAAGAAGGCCGTCACTCCAGTCAAAGACCAAGGAGACTGTGGTATATCGATGTCTCGTATTTATTATTTTTTTCGATTTCGGTTAAATAGTCTGGGCTTTGATGGTGAGATATAGCACTATTGCATAATTGAATGATCACTGATTTAATGTGTCATAACGTGTAGAAAGCCATTGGGCATTCTCAGTGGTGGGAGCCATAGAAGGAATAAATGCAATACATACAAACGAGCTGATCGAACTTTCAGCTCAACAACTGGTGGACTGTGACCCAGCAAGCCATGGGTGCGCGGGAGGATTTTACTTCAATGCATTTGGTTGGGTTATAGATAATGGCGGGATAGATACAGAAGCTGATTATCCTTACATAGCTACAAACGGAACTTGCCAGGTCTTATTAGGCTATCCCTTCTACTTTACTAGCCTTGTTAATAGAAAAACCGATCTGTCTCTCTGAAGTAAATTAAATTTCGAGTTCTCTTTCAAGCAGAATGGAACCAAAGCTGTGAGCATCAGTGACCTGTCAATTGTTGTATCTGGCACAGACGACGCAGTCTTGTGCGCTGTTGCTCAGCAGCCTGCCACCACCAGTGTGAATGCCGTCGATTTCCAGTTTTACACCAGTGTAAGTAATCGATCTCATGGTGTGAGCGTGTGTGTGTGTGTCCACATCCTTAAATGATATGTGATACGAAGTTTTCGGGACTCTAAAGAGAGGATTGATTTTGGTTTCTACTGGGCCATTTTGAACAGGGAATCTATGGGGGTGATAACTGCGACAAGAACTCGACTACAACAACATTAGTGGTGCTGATAGTAGGATACGGAACAGAGAACGGGGAAGATTACTGGATAGTGAAGAACACGTGGGGAAAAGATTGGGGAGAAGATGGATACATAAGGATAAAGAGGAACGCTGGGTGGCCTTATGGGGTATGTGGCATTAATTTTGCTGTTGGTTGCCCAACGCAAGGTGCTTCATCATCATCTTCCACTTCCTTTGGTGGCGTCTTCCAGGCCTAGATGAATTATTCCTGTGCTGCTGTATCATGTACTTCCATAGTTAAGTTTCCTCTCTCGCGTATAATTAAATAATGGATCGGCTCCATGGTACGTGCTTGTGCTTGTGAGCAATTATGTGCTTCGCGTGTCGGTGGCGCTTAAACTTAATAGTGAATAATTATTGATGTTGTGTCATACATACTGCTTCTACAAGTTTTCATTAGTTACGTTGTTGTCATCATCAACAAGCTTCTTCATCTTCAGAAAAGTGAAGAATCTTCTCACTTCTCTCCATCGACACACACACACACACACACACTCTCTCCAGCAGTAAAATGAAAACTTGGCCAAGAATCGAATCAAGCTTTAGTTTTATACAACCTATATAATAAATAATTGGCTTGGGGCAAAATATAAGATACGTACACTTGGATAGAGGTTGCAACAAGTGTCTGATTCTCTCAAAGGATGATAATAATTAATAAGTAATAGATCTAGCAGTTACATAAAATTTAAAAACTGTGCGCGCTTTTTCATTATTATTATTATTATTATTATTATTATTATCATTATTATTATTATTATACACTCCTTATATTCTAAATTATAAGACATTTTTAAACAAAATCTCACATACTAATAAACCTCATTAAATACACTTAACAATCTTATTTTTTTCAAAATAAAAATACAAACTTTTCAAAATACCCATCATTTAATACATTAAAAAGAGAAGGGATGGAAATTAATTACAGATAGAGAAAGGGTAATATTAAAATTAGTATATTTAATGAAATCTTAATTTATCTAAAGTGTTTTATATTTTAGAATAAATTTTTTTTTTAAAAATGTTCTATAATTTGAGACAAAGAGAGTATATAGAACAAGGAGTCAAGGGTTGGTCAAATAAGATTTAGAATTTCTTTTTTCAACCCTATACTCTAAAGTTCTTCATATTGTTGTCCCCCCACCTCCATAGTGTATTATTTAACATCAACCACAATTCCCGAACGTGGATGCCCACATTTATTAAAGGAGAATGACGTTTAGATCCCATAATACAAAATTAATGACAATTAAACTTTTGATAAAAAAATTTATAAAATAAATTATAAATATCAATTTAAACAGACAAAAATTTATATTTTAATATGGTTACATTAAATACTTAAATGCTTATTTATAATTAAATCTTATGTATTTGCAATTATCTGAATCATACTTTTAATTATTTTTTTAAAAAAATTATTAAAAATTCAACTGTTATTAATTTAGCATTTTGGACTTACCTGACATCCTTCCTTTATTAAACCCCTTGTCGGATTGTTGCTTCATTCATTAAACGGAACCAGTGATCGACCGCCGTTGACCCATTACCATTTGTAATGCACGGGCTGGATTTCTTCCTTACAATCGGGGCCCGTGGGCTGAATTAGCTCATTATTTCTTTACAAAATTACCTATAACTCCAACATAAAAAAAGTTTTTATAAATAAATTATGTGAATCTGCAGAAATACAAGCACGTCCCTTAAAATCAAGTTGTAATTTGTTGGGTGTGAAAAATTCACATCACCTCAACTTTAAACATATTCAACTATAAATTACAAAATTTTAAATCTAAATAGTAATAAGATTAATGATCATTTTTATCTTTTAATTTTACTTAAAAGATTTATAAATATTTTAAATTTAACTATGAATCAATCTTATATATATCTCAAATTTCGCTATTTCAGTACATCTAATGTTAACTTGTCGCTTATCCCATTATGTGGGTCCCAAATTTAAATTTTTTAACACTTTTTTATTATAAAATATTGCATGTTGGGCCCCGAATTTGAATTTTTTAATAACTTTTTATTACAGAATGTTGCATAGTAGATGAAACCCACGTAATGGGATAGTAACATCAAGAGTGCCGAGGAAAAGGATCTCTAACATAAAGAACAATATTACCTTATAGTTGAATTTAGTATGTCCCTTAACTCTTAATAATATTTCAATTACAAATCTGTGAGAACCAATTATAAATGCAAGAAGAGCATATTATTTTTGTGAGCTTACGTTCACAATTGGTTTTCATGGATTTATAATCAAAATTTCATAATTTATAACTGAATATATCTAAGCTAAGACGATATGGTATTAAAGGATTATCTTCTCCCTGTTTGCCCAACTTGAGATTGAATAGAATATTTGCCAACACGTAATAGCATATAATTACACACACACACACACACATATATAGGGGGTAAAGGCCGAAATTTTTATTAGGGAACCGTGATGACAAAATGTGTATAATAACTGAAGGAAAATTAAATTTATATATATCACTTATAACATAAAATACTTCAATGTATATATTTATATTCAATTTTATAAATATATAACAAAAATAAAGGTATACCTAAATAATGTGCAAGTTTAAGGAGGTTAAAAAACATATAATCCTTATAGTTTCTGAAAAGAACTAAAACGTTAAGGGGGCGTAGCCTCTTAGTCTCCTTATCTCCCACCTTTGCATGCATAGCTTCTGCAAGAATACATGCACCCGCATTGAATTTATTAGAGACACGGTTCTCAAATTTATAAATATCTGACCGACAGATTAGAAGCTCATAACCTGATGATGATGCATCAGTAGTACCTCAGCTACCAAAGCTGCTTATGCTTGTTTCGTGAATAGGTAAGATGCTACTGTGCCTGAAATTTCTAATAGAACAATATAAAAGAAATAAAAAATGTGCCGGAAGCCCTGAAGCTTAAGCAGTAGAAAAAGAAACAATAAATTAACTAGACATGCGCAATTCAAATAAAAAGATTTTAAGAAAAATGACAATAAAATTTTCTTGAATTATATAAATGACTTTCTAATCTCTTAAAATGCCGTAATTTTACTAAAGTCTCCTAAAAACTTTTATGTCAGTAAATTTTAAAGTAAAAAGATCATTTTATTTTTCTTGAAAATAACAAGCTTCAATTACAACTTTCTTGAGGAATAAAACCTTTTGTTATATAAATCGCAAGAGTTAAATAAGAAATCTAACTTGTTAAGTATAATTTCTGTCATTAAAAAACTTCATTAAATAACAAGCTCCAATAATAACTTTTACTTAAAAATAACAATTTTTGTTCTATAAATCGTAAAAATTGAATAAAAAATCACAGCTTGTCAAGTATAATTTTTATTATGAAAAATAAGTTGTCAAAATAGTAAGCCTCAATTACAACTTTTGTTTAAAGAATAATAATTTTTATTCAAAAAAATAGCAAAATTGAACAAGAAATCATAATTTATCAGTAAAGGTAAAATGATTTTTTAATTTAAAATTTATTGACATAGAAGTCCTTAGGAACTTTAGTGAAATTATGGTGGTTCAATGCACTAGATTGCTATTTCTATAATTCAAGAGGATTTTATTGTCATTTTTTCAAGATTATAGGTGTTTTGTCTTTTAAAACACAAACAACAAAGCTCTCGTTCTTGCTATTATTGGTCAGAGCTTTAGGAATATGGAGTTTTAGCTCTCTAGGCAGGTCTTGATCTTGCTAGCCTCCTAAATTCTGCTTTCTAAGCTAAATCTTCAAACCACACATTTTGCTTTGTCAAAGTGATAAATTGAACTACCAATAAAAATTGGTCTAGTTGATAAAGATTTGGCTCACAATCTACAAGATCATGGGTTCAAAACTACAAAAAAACGCAGCTTAAATTTCGTCGCTAACCTGTTTAGCGACGGAATATTTAATATTTCTATAACATTTTAAATTTCAATTCAAAAAAAACTAATTGCTAATTAAGTATAAATTAGCAATTAGTGGATTGATTATGGTTTTTGATGATGGAATAATATATGATGTTGGTTGATTGTTATGTTAATAGGATTGAATGGTAGAATGGCAATTCGGGACATAACGCGTAAGCACAAGTAAGATTACCTCACTATACCACGCGCTGCGGTGCATTGCACATATTTTATTTAAAACCTAAGTTAGAACTTATGAAGTCAGAAAGAAAGGAAAGGGAAAACACAACTGGAGAGAAGAGCTTGGCTTTGCTAGGGCATTAGATATCTAGAGTTCGAGAGTTTTCTTCAGCTAGTAACTTGTCAGGTAACTATCATACAACCCTTAGCTTCATTTCTACCCTATTTTCATTGAATTTGATCAGTTAAGAAATCGAGTTAGGAAGTTTTAAGGTGATGAAATCTAAAAGAAAGGTTTAAAAAATTTCAAGTACGAAACTAATGATTTGTGATTAGTCTAAAGTAAAATAGTTGAACTATAAGGATTTAGGCTCAATTAACCTAAAGAATTAGGTTGAAATGGTGAAATTAGATGAATAAATAAGTAAGGAGGTTGTTATGGTTATTTGAATAGCCTATAAGACTAGTAACTATAGGTGATAGATTATGTGAATTCAAAAGGTGTTGATTGGACTAGTTTGTGTGTTAAGGAATTCAGTTTAACCAAATCAATGCCTATACTAAGTGTTGAAAATTGACTAAGGGACATTATGTTGTATAAATTAAGCATTTGAGAAGTTGCTTATGAGAATCTGCACCTTGGAAGGCCTCAATGATTGGTAACCCTTGACAATAATGATAAAAGGTAACTAGAGTAACCCTTTTACTTGTTTGTTTGTGAAATTATTTACAAGTATTTTATATAACTATATGCATTATGATTTATGAACTAATAGAGTAGCGTTATTGTTAAAGGAATACGCATGCAGGTGTGTGAGTTATGTATAAAATGAATGTAAACAGCCATACATATAAATATGTGCATTGCATCCGCGAATATATCCTAGATTAGGGTAGGGGGTCGTGGCCCTACTTTGTATATATCTAGAAAGTCCTAAAGGTCTTGAGTGTAGAACTTGACTTTACTAAGAAGGACCTAAGAGATCTTGAAGGTCTCGAATATAGAGCTTGACTCTGCAATAACGAACCTGTGATAATAATCTATAAGTTTACCCTAAACTAGGGTAAGACATTGTGGACTTACTCTGTGTAAGACTAGAAGTTTTAAAGGTCTTAAGCGTAAAGCTTGCCTCTATCAACAAGGATTTAGGAGACCATTCATACGCAAAGAAGATACCTTATCTGAATAGTAGTTTGGTAGGCCTTGTTTTGTGTAAGAATGGAAGTTTAGGTTCAAGCATAGAGCTTACTCCACTAGGTGGAATAGGG